AACCGTGGGACAGCTTTATGACAAGGAAAAAGATGAAGATGGATTCTTGTATGTGGCCTACAGTGGAGAGAACACGTTTGGCTTCTGAGGCCAGCGTGATCTGGGTGCACCAATCCTCTTTGTGTATCTTGTAAATAGCCGGCATTTTCCGTTATCACACCAGATCTTCTTGACATAGACCTCTTAGTGCATTTGTAACTGGATTTATTTCTTAATATATTGGAAAGTTTTGTTTCTTTAGACTAGTAAATTATCATACAGAGTTTAAGTTTTTCTTTTTTGTGCATTGTGCTCATGGCTATCCTCCCCAGGGAACGTGTTACTCTGGGAATCCTATTTAATGAAGATATTTCCACACTGAAGTGAGGTAGGCAGGATATTAAAATGAAAGACAGGGAGATGATGCATTTATTCCAGATTATGTTTGAAGTGTTAGATGGCTAAGTATTAAAGCATCCAGGTTAAATCCTTAGCAATCAGAACACTTGCTTCACTGGATTTTTGCCAACTGCCAATCATGTTGGACTGAGCTAATCTGTTCTTCTTTCTGAATCTATTAAGGTAAATAATTAACAATAAAACTTGTAAAGGCATTGTAAAAAAAAAAAAAGGACTGATCCCTCCTTGCAGCATATCCAAAGTATGTCAGACAAAGCTTCTGAATCCTTTCTTCCAAGGAGCAGCCTGGTTTCACCCTCTCTTGGACAAACCTGTTTGTTCTCCTAGCAGTCCATGGTATATTTCACACTCTTCTCCAGCACCACAGCCCAAAGGCATCAGTTCTCTTTCTGTCATCCGTAGTCATTGTCCAGCTCTCTGACGCATAGCAAGCACTTGCGAAGGCTATGATCTGGATCAGGCACATCTTAGTTTCCAGACTGTCATCATTGCTCTTCAGTACTCTGGAGAGGTCCCCGACAGCCACCTTTCCTAATGCACTTTATCTGTTGGTTTCTTGACTGCTGGTACCAAGGGTGTTGATTGCAGAGCCAAGCAAAATGAAGCTGTTACTATCTCAGTCTCTGCACCATCTATCATGATGCTGCCAATCAGACCAGTGGTGAGAATCATTGTTTTCTTGATGTTGAGCTTCAATCCATATTGAAGACTGCAGTCCTTGACCCTCTGCAACAAGCACTTTAAGGTCCTCAGTTTCAGCAAGCAGGGTTGTGTCATTTACACAAAGATTTGATGACTCTTCCTCCAATCCTGATGCCACATTCCTCCTCATAGAGCCCAGCCTCCCAGATGATCTATTCTGCATATAGGCTGAAAAGGTATGTAGACAAAATACATCCCTGACGACACCCTTCCTGATTTTGAACCATGCAGTGTTTCCTTGCTCTGTTCTGACGACTGCCTCCTGGTCCAAGTATAAGTTTCACAAAAGAACAATCAAATATTCTGGGATTCCCATTCTTCTCAGAGTCAGTCACAGTTTGTTGTGATCCACACAGTCAAATGCCTTTGCATAATCAATAAAACGCAGACATTCCTCTGGTACCCTCTGCTTTCAGCCAAGATCCATCTGATATAAACTATAATATCCCTAGTCCCACTGCAGCCTGCACATCTGGCAGTTCTCTGTTGATGTGCTGCTCCAGTCATTTTTGGATCATTTTCAGCAGAATCTTGTTTGCATGTGGTATTAATGATATTGTTTGATAATTTCCACACTGTTGGGTCACCTTTCTTTGAGATGGGAATAAATATAGATCTCTTCCAGTCAGTTGGCCTGGGGCGCGGGGTCCTCCAGCTTTCTTGAGACAACTTAGCGCATCTAGGGCAGCATCTGTTTGTTGAAATATGTTAATTGGTATGCCATCAACTCCTGAAGCCTTGTTTTTTTGCCAGTTTTTTCAGAGCAACTTGAACTTCTTTCTTCATGACCACAGTTTTTTCTTGCTTATATGTTGTTTCAAGAAATTCTTCTGTGTCAGCCAATTCCTTTTGGTACCGTGACTATTTATACTTTTTACATCTTTTAATGCTTCTCAGGTCATTTAACATTCTCAAAAGCTGCTCAAAGCATCCTTAAGTATTGCAACTTTTGGCTGAATGTATTCTTTAATTCTTTCAGCTTAAGAAATGCTGAGCGAGTTGGCCCTTTTGATTTTCTGATTCCAGCTTATTGTATATTTCATAATAATACTTTGCTTTGTCTTCCTGAGCTGCCCTTTGGAATCTTCTGTTCAGCTCCTTAATTTCCTGGTTTCTTCCCTTTGCTTTGTCTTCTCGGCACTCTGGTGCACTATTTAAAGTCTCATCTGTCATCCATCTTGGTCTTTTCTTCCTCCTCTACCTTTGTAGTGACCTTTTTCATTCTTCATGGATGGTATTCTTGATACCCTCCCACAGCCCATCTAGTCTTTGCTCATTGGTGTTCAAGACCTCAGACCTATTCTTGAGTTGGTTTTGAAATTCAAGTGGGATAGACTTAAAGGTCAAACTTTGGTTCTTGTGGATTTGATTTAATATCAGCTTGAACTTACATACTTGTAGTTGGTGGTCTGTTCCACTATTAGCACCTGGCCTAGTTTTCACAGCTGATACTGAGCTTCTCTAGATGTAATCGATCTGATTCCTGTGCATACCATCAGGTGAAATCCATGTGTATAGACTGCGTTTGTGTTTCTTATAAAATGTATTTGCAATGAATAAATCGAGTGTACAGAATTCTATCATTCTATCTCCAGCTTCATTTCTGTCACCATGTCCATGTTTTCCAGCTACTGATCCTTCTTCCCAGTTCCCAACTTTTGTATTCCAGTCACTCATTATTATTAATGCGTCTTGATTGCATGTTCAGTTGATTTCTGACAACAAATGTTGGTAGAAATCTTCTTCTTGATGTTGTTGTTAGGTGTCAACGAGTCACTTGCGACTCATAGCGACCCTATGTAAATGCCGTTCTATCCTGTGCCAACCTCGCTGTCTCAAACACACTCATTCCCACCACTCCACTCACAGAATCGATCCATCTCATCGAGGGTCTTCCTCTCCTGCGCCGTCCCTCCACTCTCCCAAACATGATGTCCTTCTCCAAGGACCATTTCCTCCTTGCATCATGCCCAAAGTATGTCAGATGAAGCCTCAGAATCCTTGACTACAAGGAGCATTCCAGCTTCACCTTCTCCAGGACAAACCTGTTTGTTCTCCCAGCAGTCTATGGTATATGTTCAACACTTTTTTCCAGCACCACAGCTCAAAGGCATCAATTCTTTTTCTATCATCCCTAGTCACTGTCCAACTCTCCGATGCATAGCACATAATTGCAAAGACTATAGCCTGGATCTTCTTGATAGATAATACTAATATTTTATATTCTGTGAATTATTTCTTTGTCTCATCTTAAGACTAATGAAGCAAAAAGCTTTAGCTTACACCCTGTGTGCCTGGATTTTGTGGTTTCAGTGTTGAAAGAAACTTTGTAGACCACCCAACTCATGATCCTACCTCCTCTGTCTGTGTTTCACCTTTGGAAGCCCAGAGGAAGAAAAGTGGCTTGTGTGTGAGAGGACTTGGCCCAGTCTCTGTGAGCAGCCTTTTCTGTTAAATCAGCACTCAGAAATAAATGCAAACTATTATGCTACATTAATCTATCTATTTTTTCCCTTTATGTTAATCTTTAAATTGTGATTTTATGTTAATATATGTTTTTCATTCAGTACATGCAGAGATAATGGGTTGGGTCCTCTTTTTCAATTTTTTAAGAATATATTTTATTGATTTTCATATAATAGTATCCTTAAAGTATGTTTCATTCATACACATTGTGTTTTATACAACCTTTCATTTACATTGTGTTTCATACATTCATATATGTTCTATTTTACATTATTTTTTAATGAGTTTATTTTACAACATTTGAACACATTTTTTTCACACCACATCCTTCCCATTTCCCTCAGCTCCCCCCATCCATCAAATTGTGTGACCCCATGATTAATCCTCCCTGGTCCCACATCCTGACCTCTCTGCTTCCATCCTCCCCACCCTTGAATCCTCATAAGCATTCTACAGTAATGGTTTTATACAGTATTTGTCCTTATGGGACTGAGTTAGTTGTGATTGGATCTTTTTATACGGAATAGGGAAGTTTGAGTTAACTGTTCATTCTTACATATTTTCTTTTAAAACTATTTGGATATACAGTTCACATGCATCTTGAGGCTCCCCTCTTACATTCCAGTGAGCCTTGTGAAATGAACTTGAACCCAGGGGCTTCTGGGGTCTCACGACTCCAGCCTCTGCAGCCCGTCAGGGTGGGCGAGGCGAGTGTCCTGGGTGGCACTGGGACACTGGCAGCAGCAGCTGTCTTACAGAGCTGGCGTGGAGCTTGGCCTTGAAAGGGAGGGACAGTGCCCTGTAGAGAAGGAGCTTGGACTTTGGAATCCTGGACTTCCAACTTGTTGCTTCATAACTTTACTGCCATGTGTCGGGCAATTTGCTTTGATTCTTCTCCTGAAAAGTAGGGTAGAAACAGTCTCTCTCTCTCTCTCTCTCTCTCTCTCACACACACACACACACACACACACACGGGTCAGATGTGTGGTGCACACAAAGGTGTTGTAGAATCTCTGTTGAGTAAGCAGACACCTGAACTGTGTGTACTTGGGGGTTGGGGGGACTGGAGCCCGGAATGAAGCCACTGGGAAGGGCAAGAATTTGGCAGTGGGGCTTCCACCCAGCACTTCGGGCAGACGTGAAGCAACGCGCTGGGGACGGAGCTGCCAGCACTGCCAGGCCCTGCTCCGCAGCGCCTGCATTGACGGCCACGCACCACTGCTGTCCCCACTTCACAGAGAACTCACCCTCCCTCCCCAGAGCCACACAGCAGCACAGCCACTGAATCAGGACTCGGGGGAAATGGATAAAAGGGGAAAACTACATAGGGAGCTAGTTCTGCAGGGGTTTAGCTGCCACTCCTGACCAGCTGCTGAGATAAACTGCAAATGTGGCTATGCATCTGACTTGAGTGTGTTTGTTGTGCTTTGTAGAGGACGTTGGTGATGAAGGAGAAGAAGAAAGGGAATTCATTTCCTACAACATCAACATAGACATTCATTACGGCGTTAAGTCCAACAGGTAAGTAGAACGAACACTCTTCTCTGGCTTATGATTTTGTGGGGATTCAGAGAACAGGGAACAGTTAACTTTTTTCCTGCTCTTTACACTCACTATCTTTGCGTTCATGTGAATTAGGAGGATTCCCAAGTCAGTATCAATTCTAAAACACGTTTCTTTTAATGACCATATTGGGGCGTCCACCCTCTGAGCTGTAGTGCGCTTACCTTCCCGTGTCCGACAAGGCTCTCGGTGACTCCTGGCCTTTCATCTTAAGTAAACATGCTGATGAACCAACCACCAGGTTGTCCTCGGGATAACGTCCTCAGGTGGCTGCCTCACGTGCAGCTCATTATTAGGGGCCTTAATGCTTACTACCAACTTCCCATTTTCTAGAATAATGATGGCAACTTACACTCTGGTAGACATGGCCAAATTTCAAAGGTACTCAGGAGCAACGGTGTCTCTCTGGAGACTAAGGTGCGCCTGATACAGGCCATAGTATTTGCAATCGCTTGTTATGCATCAGAGAGTTGGACAATGACTAGGGAGGACAGAAGGAGAGTGGATGCTTTTGAGCTATGGTGCTGGAGAAGGGTACTGAATGTACCCTGGACTGCCAGCAAAACAAACAGATTCATCTTGGAGAGGATTAAACCAAGCTGCTCCTTGGAGGCAAGGATTCTGGGGCTTCGTCTGACATACTTTGGACATGTTGCCAGGAGGGACGGGTCCTTGGAGAGGGACATCATGCTTGGGAGGGTGGAGGGACAGCGCAGGAGGGGAAGACCCTCTATGAGATGGATTGATTCGGTGACTGGGGTAATCGGGATGGGTGTGTCAGAGGCGGTGCGGTTGGCGCAGGACAGAGCAGGGTTTAGAGCTGTTGTGCATAGGGTCGCTATGAGTCGGAAACGACTCGATGGCACATAACAACAACAACGTTACCATTGATTTAGGGAGTCTGGTGGCATAGTGGTAAGGAATTGTGCTGTCACCCAAAGGCTCAGAGTTTGAATCCACCAGCACCTGCTTCATGAGGAAAGATGGTCAGTCAACCCCTGTGTGATTATTGTCTATGAAAACCCAGTGGAGGGTCAGCTATGGGTCACTCTCACCTCGACAGTACATAACAGCAACAATTGATCTTGCGTTGACTTTTTTTTTTTTTTAAATAGGATTTGAATGAAAGTTTACAAAGCAGATTGGTTTTTATTCAACCCCTGGTTTGATTTTTAAAACTTCTTTTAAGTGCTTCAAGTGTACAAAATATGTCTTAGTTGCCTAGTGCTGTTATAATAAATACCAAAAGTGGCCGGCTTTAGCACACAGATTTATTCTCTGACAGTTGAGGAGGCTAGGAGTCCAAATTCAGGGTGCTGCTCGGGGGAGGCACCTTCTCTGGGTCAGCGTCCGCAGCCACATTGTGTGGACACCCGCTACACCTTGGCCTTCTCCATGGCAGTGTCTGCTGACATGTTCCACAGTCATCCCCACACATCTGACCTTCCCCTAAGTCAGCGTCTCTGGCTACATCCTGCGGACATTCCACACCACATGACCTTCCGCTCTGTGTGTGGGCCACCTTCCGTGGACATCTTCGCCCGTGTTGAGTTTCCTGGGTCTGAAGGACGTGCTCTGCTCCCGGCCCCTCTGTCTTGGTGGTGCTGGGGTTCTTCCCTCTCTGCTTGCCTTCCTTTCATCTCGTGTGAGAGTAGAGGTGATGCAGACCATACCCCAGGCCAACTCCCGGGACATCAGCTGGGGCCAGTGCTGATGCTGCCTCTACACTAACCCCCTTACAGCCTGACAGGTTGGCCACATTATGAGAGGTGGTCACATCATTACAGAACTGTCTCCGCCTTCCCTCATTAGAATCACAGAGGTTAAGATCCCTAACGCTGGAAGCAGGAGTGGCCTCCCCTTCCTAAACAACATGCCTCCGGAAGCTCTATGAACTTTGATAAATGACAATAGTTATAGAAGGGCTTTAGGAAGCCTTTTGTTTGTGGGGTTGCAATGAGTCATGCTCGACTTGATGGCAATCAACAACAATATAATTACATAATACTGAGAATCCTAAGTTCTAGTGGCTACCTAAGTCACACACGTTTTGGGAAGACATGGTTCAGTTCGTGACAGAAGAATTACCCGAGTATTACATAAACTGTGGGGCCTTCACAGGTAGACCATTTGTTAGCATTTTGCCCCGTTTCTGTTACTGCTGTTTCCTGAACTGCCAAGAAAACATGTCACTTCATCCTCAGGGTTTCATTATTTCTGAGAGCGAGCAGGGCCTCGTGCATAACCACAGTGTAATTATCCATTAAGGAAATGGGAAATTGATTCAATTTTATTATCCAGTTATAGAGCATGTGCCACATTTCTCATTTATGTGCGCGTCATTTCCCCGCTCTAGGCTCCAAGCCAGATGCCCTTGCACGTGCCTTCCTGTCTCTGTCCATCTTTAGCCCCAGCACTGTGCCCTCTGGTGCCCTTCCTGGTCCTGAGTTGCTGGTGTGGCTGACTTTTCTCAGGGCTTCAGTTCAGGAAGCTTTCTTGGCTTTTTAGAATAATACAAGGTCTTAGGTATAAGTACTGACCTGAGAATTTGGGAATACCAGTGTTAATCTGAACCCACTAGGCCCTCCATGGGAGGAAGTGCAGGAGCCTGCTCCCATCAAGGTTGCAGCCCTAGGGACGCTGTGGGCAGTTCTGTCCTATCTGGAGGGTGATGAAGAGATGCAGTTGACTTGATGGCAGTGAATGTGGTTTTGTTTTTGCAAGAAGTCTTGGTGGCTCAGTGGTTAAGTGCTCACCTGCCATTCAGAAGATTGGTGATTTGAACTCATCAGCCCTTGGTGGGAGTGAGATGTGGCAATGATGAGATGCTTCCATAATGATGCACGTCCAGGGACCCTGTAGGGCACTTCTGCTGTGTCCTGAGAGCTTGCTCTGAGTTGGAATCGCCTAGCGCAGTGGTTTAAGTTTTGTTTGTTATACACAAGGTGTGACAGTAAATGCAGGGTAGAGTGGAGAGGACTCAGACCCTCCTCTCAGGAGGTTTGTGATATTTGAAGGGGAGGAGTGACAGGCACACAGCCGGCTGTGGTGTGTGTACTGTTGTACAGTGCAGGGTGACCACAGGAAGCTGAGGGGCGGAGAGATGACTGATTAGGAAAGGCGCCACGGGGGAGGTGTGATGGAGTTGGCTGGAGGGTTATTAGAGTGACAGCTCCTTAGCGAAAGCAGGTGACGTATTTATGGAACATAGTGGTTCTGTAGCCTCTTGGGTGGAGAAAAAGGTGTACGTTGGGAGCTGGAGCTGGAAGTCAGCCAGGCCAGGTTTTCAGAGCCCAGAGTGCTTGACCTCCTCTCATCTGCCTTGAGGACATCTGTGGCTTATTCAAGCTGATCTGTCACTTAGCGCTATCAGTGAATGGTGCAGATTAGGACACAGATTTTAAGTAAGCGGTGGCTTGGAACTGCAGTTTCTAGCACCAGGCTCGCTTTATGAGGTACAGATTGAGTTTAAATCATCTGGGAGACAAAAAACACTTGATTTCATGGCCACGTGCTGTAATCATAACATCAACTCAGTGGTTCTCATGGACAGATTCGCACCACATTTCACTGTTAGAAAAGCAATTGTTTTACTGTTTTTAACTTGATTTTTAAGTTGATGCATTCAGATTGAGAATCTGCACCCAGCACCAGGACCGCTGATGTGTGAGTGCTGGGTGGGACTGCGTCTCCACCACCACCAGCGCCCCCCCTCACTCCACCCCACCTCACTTCACCCCGCCTCACGTCTCCTTGTGCTCACCTCCCAGCTTGGCTTTCATTAAACGGACCCCAGTGATCGATGCGGACAAGCCCGTGTCCTCTCAGCTCCGCGTGCTCACGCTCAGCGAAGACTCACCCTACGAGACGCTGCATTCCTTCATCAGCAATGCTGTGGCCCCTTTCTTCAAGTCCTACATCCGAGAGTCTGGCAAGGCAGACAGGTAGAAGCTGCTTTCCTGGGTTGGTCTGATGTCCTGTTTGACTTCCTGTTCGCAAGACGTTACAGGAGATGATTAAAATTAGGGCGGGAGGTGGTGGTGGAGGGTCCAGCTAGTAACCGGGAGGACGCGAGGTCTCTGCCTTAGGAAGTTTCACCAGTGTCTGACGCCCCGAAATGGTCGAAGCTCTTTGGGGGCGAGAGCACAGTAGCCTGAGCTGTTGGGTGTCTTTCAGGGACGGTGATAAAATGGCCCCCTCAGTTGAAAAGAAGATCGCAGAGCTGGAAATGGGGCTCCTTCACCTGCAGCAGAACATTGAGATCCCGGAGATCAGTCTGCCCATCCACCCAATCATCACCAACGTGGCGAAGCAGTGCTACGAACGTGGCGAGAAGCCCAAGGTGACGGACTTCGGGGACAAGGTTGAAGATCCCACTTTCCTCAATCAGTTACAGTCTGGAGTGAACCGCTGGATCCGAGAGATTCAGAAGGTGAGGCCCAGTGTTGAAACACATCTCACGAGCAGAGTGCTTTGCCCAGAGCGTCAGGGCTCCGTCAGGGCGCTTCTGCAGGTGCACCGCCTGGTTGTGGGTGTGGGCGGGGCGGCCGGAGTGGCCAGCACCTAGTCTGAGATTGTTTGGTGTGAGCCCTGAGGTAACACTAATGCCACTAGTCCCCGACCTTTGATGTCGGATCAAAACCCCATGTCAGAGAAAGAAATCTCCTTGAAACATAAAAAGAAGCTCCTAACAGGGCTTTTAAGGGGTCAGTACCCATCAGCAATATTTGTGTCTCTAAAGGTGACCAAACTTGATCGAGATCCTGCCTCGGGAACCGCCCTGCAGGAGATCAGCTTCTGGCTGAACCTGGAGCGCGCGCTGTACCGCATCCAGGAGAAGCGGGAGAGCCCCGAGGTCCTCCTCACGCTGGACATCCTGAAGCACGGCAAGCGCTTCCACGCCACCGTCAGCTTCGACACCGACACAGGTGGGAGCGCGGCCGGGCTGTGCTGGGGCCTGGCGCTTGTGAAACTGGCGGGGGCGGCAGTGATGCACCCCTCTCTGCACTCTCTCTTCTTGCTCCTTGGCCTATCTTTCCCTCCACTCACATACTTGCCTCCTTCAGAGATGTCCAGAGCAGAAACTGGGTTCCAGGCACGAGCCTAGCGGTGTGGACTTGCCTTCCCATCTTTAGGGAGGTGGCTCCTTGAGAGGCTCTGTTTGTCTAGTGAGCGACCAGGTGTGTTTTTGGTGCCAAATAGAAGATGGTTGGAATTAGGTACAAGTGAGGTGCCCAGAGGCTGCGGCAGGAGAGCTGGTCAGCTCGCCTTTCTCCACCTACCTTTGCCATTTCCTGACTCCACTTCCCTGACTCCCTCCTGTTTAAAATCACTCACTTCTGAGTAGGACACAGTGTACTCAGTGCTGCATTAGCACATATGGGCAGGCATTGGTCGAGTGGGCAGGCTGCACGATTCTATGCTCTCGGGAGATAGAATCGAGACTCTGAGGGCAGCTTTAGTTAAATAACAGAAGATTACTATTATCTGAGAGTCCTGTGATTCCTTAAAACGCCATCTACATGAGACCAAATGGTCCTTGAAAGCAGAGATGAGTGGGCAAAGGGGCAGGGAACTAAGTTATAAAGAAACAGAATGGTCAGAATGTGAGCATTGATAGTGAAAAACGTAACCAGTGCGTCAGCAGAAATTAACTAACACCTGCGTAGACACAGTTGAAGGAAATAGAAATACCATTTGACCCAGCGATCCCATTACTGGGAATATACCCTAAAGAAACCAGAGCTGCATCGCAAACTGATGTATGCACACTCAGCTTTATTGATGAGTTATTCACAATAGCAAAGAGATAGAAGCAACCCAGGTGTCCATCATCAAATGAAAGGATAGAAAAACTATGGTATATTCACACAATAGACTATTATACAGCAATAAAAAACAGTGAATTTATGAAACATTATACAACATGGGTATACCTGGAGGACATTTATGCTGAATGAAGTATCTCAGTCATAAAAGGACAAATACTGTATAACAATGCTGTTATAAAATAGGACTGAGAATAGGGGAAGAGGAAAAGAATGGATAGATAGTGAACACTGCATTAGGGAAGAATGCTCTGAAAGGAATGGATGGCTAGGCAGTCTGTATTATAACAATGTGGAACAGGAGGTGCATTGCAAAGTGGATTGGGGAAGAGAAAGGGAAAGAAAATGTGTAATGAATGAATGAATGAAACCCCAACCATTCTGTTATCTTTTCATTAAAAATCACAATTTAAATAAAAAATTGTCGAATGGGCGCTTAAACTGACCGCTGATAGCGCCATTAACGGTGGAAAGACTTGCGTGTTATCCACAGATGATGTGCTCACATAAATGAGATGCACAAGCTGCACAGGAAATGAACCTGAGTGTTGAAGCTTTTATACAGATTGTTACAGCATGTGTATGTGCTCAGCAGTACAACATCCGAGCAAGGCCCCAGGCCTGGAGTAGTTGTCGTGTCCTTCGCTCTGTCCACACAAGGAGCAGTGCCGCAGGGGCAGAGGAGAGAGAGCCTCGGTCCATCACACTCTTTCCTGGGCAGTTTGATCCACTGATGCTGAAGCACTTGCATTCATTTTTATTTATTTATTTATTTTTAAACACTCCCCATCCCTCCTCCCTCGACCTCTTTTTCTCATCTGATAATTACATTCTCTTCTGAGGCCAGAAAATAAGTCAACAAATAGATTAGAACCCAAGTGAATCTGTTTCTGTAACGCTCTCTGTCTCTGGCCTCTGTCATGGGTGATGGATTTCATCGTGCTCATGGATAATAGGATTGTGCTTTTGCTAAACTTAATCTGCTCTTGGTAGAATGTTTAGGTAATAAAGACAGTCAGAGAAAGGTCAGCCCTGGAAGGCTGCCTCTCACATCCTGCAGCCTATACAGGGTTGGCCGTGCCCAGAGAAGCAAAGATGGGAGGCACATGCCAACAAAGTGCGTTCAGCCCTGTGTCACTCAATCTTCTACAACATCAACTGTTCCTCTCTAAAGATCTGTTGTTGGTCTGCTTGCTGGCAAGCCTGGCTTGAGTGTCACTTCGTTCTGTAACTGGCCCTGTAAACTCCTTTTCTGCCTAGGTCTTAAACAGGCTTTGGAAACCGTCAATGACTACAACCCTCTGATGAAGGACTTCCCTCTGAATGACCTTCTGTCTGCCACTGAGCTGGACAAAATCAGGCAGGCACTCGTCGCAATATTCACCCATTTGCGAAAGATCCGAAACACAAAATACCCTATTCAGCGGGCACTGCGATTGGTGGAGGCGATTTCAAGAGACCTGAGTTCTCAGCTGCTCAAAGTGTTGGGAACTAGGAAACTGATGCACGTTGCTTATGAAGAATTTGAAAAAGTAAGTTTCTGCTCATTTTGAGTCCCAGCCTCGGGCCTTGGGTCAGAGGTATGCCTTGGCGCTGAGCTGCTTTCCTGCCGCGTCCTAGGTCATGGTGGCGTGCTTTGAGGTCTTCCAGACCTGGGACGACGAGTACGAGAAGCTGCAGGTGCTGCTGAGAGACATCGTGAAGAGAAAGAGGGAGGAGAACCTGAAGATGGTGTGGCGCATCAACCCCGCTCACAGGAAGCTGCAGGCGCGCCTGGACCAGATGCGCAAGTTCCGGCGGCAGCACGAGCAGCTGAGGGCCGTCATCGTCAGGGTGCTGAGGCCACAGGTAAGATGCCCGGCCTTGCTGCAGGCCTCGTGTCGCGCTTGCCTGTGTGAGTGCACAGATTGACGCTGGTGACGGTGCGTTTTCCCAGCGGCGTCTGCCAGCCTCTTGTCTGTGTCACATTTTGGTAATTCTTGCAATATTGTAAGTTTTCTCATCACGCTGTTGTGTACCTGATAGACCGCAGTGTGGTTTTATATGCACTGGCCAACGAGGAAGTTCATGTGGTTTGCTTTATTACAGTGGTTGGGAACCGAACCTGCGATGTCTCTCACGTGTGCCTGGAGATGCGTTACTATTACTTTGATGAAGTTTATTTTTGTTGTGTTTTTGTGGCCTTTTTTTTAGCAACTTGTTTCTAGTTTGCACTGTTAGAGTCTTTAATTCCGTTTGTGTTGTGAGCGTCGTCTTTAAAATCCGGTATATTGATTATTTGATCCTGCTTGATTATTGCTTCAATCTAGATTCTTAATGCTCTCTGTCTGTTTATTCCTGGTCCCACCTTCTGTGGACCGTTTAACCAGACTTCTGGGTATTAAGCCCTAATTCCACCTCATTGACCTTTTCTCTCTAGATGTTACCACTTGTAAAATGTGGATAATGGCTGAAATTTGTTAAAAGAATTAAATGACCCCTTTTCTTTGTACCTAAGGAGCTCTGGTGGCACAGTGCATTTTGCTTTGAGCTGTTAACTGAGAGGTCAGCAGTTCAAATCCAGCAGACAGTCCAAGGGAGAAAGTCAGTTTCCTCCTGTAAAGGTTTGCAGCCTCAGAGGCCCGACTGATAGTTTATGTGAACTGGAACGGACATGGTGGTGGGGTGTGCATTTCTTGGTACCTGCTCTTCTGAATTCACCTTTCTCTCCTTTTCTTCCTTTAAACAATTTATTTCAGAAATGAAATATAAAATGGGTTGAGACTTAAGACGGTTACTGTTAGATGCCGTTGGTCATGGCCCTATCTGCCACAGAGTGAGAGGCTGCCTGGTCTGACACCAGCTCTGCAGCCATTGCCATGTCTGAACTCTCTGTGTCCGTCGGTCCATCTCACAGAGGACCTTCCTGTCATTCACTCACCCTCTACCAGACATGATGTTGTCCTCCCTGGACTGACCTTTCCTCTTCACATGCCCGATCTGTGGGAAATGAAGACCTTGCAGAGCCCGCTCTGAGACGCATCCAGAACGTATTTCTTCCCCGATGGATTTGCTCTTTCTTCCGTCCCTCCGTCCATGGAGCATCTTCTCACATGAAGAGCGAGGGATTCCTTCATGTCCTGTGCTCCGTGCAGCGTCACTGCACGTGGCTGCTCTGTTGGTTTTCAGATCCCGGCCGTTTCTCCCCTTCCGGGCTGTTGAGGCTGTTGCATGTTCCTCTAGTCCTGAGGCGCATCCTTTCTGCCGTGGACTCAGTATTTTTAATTGGAGTCTTCAGGTCATTCTTATTTAATGTTGCATCAGAGGCGATTGGATGTCCCGTCTGTCACTTTGCTGTTTTCAGTTTGTCTCATTTGAGTGAGTCTCTGGTTACTCCCTCTCTCACTACCTTCTTTCGTGTTATTTTTCAGTTTATCATTTTAATCCTCTACAGACCTGAAGTTTCCCTTTTTTGTGGTTGTTGTAGGATTACAGTATGCACGTCTGATTTAAAACAACCTAGGGATAGCTAGTAATAAAGGCTGTTCTCTCAAGCACACAGAGATTGGAGTACTGCTGTTCCTGTCGTGTAGAATGGATTTTTTTTAAATAATAGATTTATATGTGTTTATAAATCCAACAACACAGCCTTAGGAGTTTAGTTTTAGTGTATTTTCTAGAAATTAGAGAAAAAGTGTGTGTGTGAGAGAGAGAAGGGAGCGGGGAGAGAAATCTGCTATGATCCACGCACTTACTCAGAATTTCCTGTTCTCTTCATCCGTCCTGTGGATTGGGAGGGGCCTTCTGTTGTTCGTGTCTCTCTTCAGCCTGAGATTTGTCCTTAGTTTTTGTGAGCAGTGTGGCCGACTAACGAGTCCTGTTACTTTTTGTTGCTCAGGAACGATCTTTCACTTTCCTGCTTAAAGCTGTGGAAGCGCACTGTCAGTGCCGCCGTCGTTCCTGTGCACGTGCCGAGGCTCTCGTTGCATTCTGCTGCTGCTTTGGTTGAGATTCCTGTTAGGGTTGGGGTTCTGCAGTTACATGGCTGGGCACGTGGGTTAGTGTTCAGTGTTCTCGGCTGAGCCGAGTTGAGATTTGAGGAAACTCTGGATCTCTTCAGTTAGTGATTTCAAGCAGAGGTGGGAGTTCCCAACCACTGTGTCTTTAAATCTGTTTTCAAGTTCCTTGGGTCTCTGTCTTTTTCTCTCATCTGTTCTTGAGTCCATCTAGTGAATGTTTAAAATATTCATGGAAGTCATTGCACTTTTCAATGCTATACTTACGATTTGATTCTTTTTTTATAGCTTCTGTTTCTTTAAGATCATATTTAGTGATTCAGTTTATATGTATTTACTCAATTTTTTTATTTACTTGGGTTGGGTTTTTCCTAATTCTTTCAACACATTTATATTCATTTTCTCTATCTTTTTTTTTTCCGAGTAGGGCCTGAACTTGGCCTGCCTGGTCATTTAATTTGTTTACTGGTTAATGTTTTGTTGACAGTAGGACAGAGTAGACAGTAAGTACATTGCAGTGTTTGAGTTCTGTTCTGCTCTCCTCTTGCGGTTGGGTCTCTTTTGGTGACATACACCTTGTCTCACCTCATTTGCAGAATGTGGCAGCTGTGTCTCTGCACAGCTCCCTCCATGTCTGTGATTTTTAAGCCTGCCTCGCAGGGCTGTCCCCTCAGCAGCGGTCCACCTGTGACGTGTCGGCCGAGTTGTGTGCGGTGAGCACATTTGATCTGAGACCGCAGGCTGCACTTCCAGTAGGAAGGTGGCAGGTCACGAGAAAATGTGTCTCAGGTTGTAGACTCACATTTGATTATTCTCTTTTGACCTGAAGTAATTTTTTGAGTGGTTTTGGTCAATGTGCTGCCAATACCAGGAATCCTTAGAATGTTTTTAAGCCAAAAATAAAATGCACAGTTTTACAAAGTAAAAACTGTTGCCAGTATTTTATTTTTCTTTATTTTTTCCAATAACACCTAAAGTTTATTGGACGACAGCCAAGGACTGGTTGAGTTCCAGTGCACGCTGATCCAGCTTGGGGAAGGCAGAGGAATCATCAGCGGCACACACGCCACGTAGTTGCAGAGCCCACGATTCATTTCCCAGCGGATCATCCCAAGGGTTGAGACCCCAGATGCAAACCCCAGCAGTTGGCCTGGTCTGTGGGCTGGGCCCCGGTTACACGTGAACTCATGCTCTTGTGCTGAGCTTAACGCCCAGCGCCACAGGCAGGCGCGTCTGGAGCTCTTAAGGCACTGTTGCCGTACTTTTTTTCTCTCACTAGTTTATTTACAAAATTCTAATATAAATTTGAACAAATTCTTTTCATTTCCCTCATCCACCCACTCATCGAATTGTACAACCCATTGATGAATCCCCTCTTCCCCCTGCACATCCACATCCCTCTGCTTCCAGCCTCTCCCACCCCTCCTGGATCCTTATACTCATTCTACAGTAACGGTTTTATACAATATTTATCTTTGTGGGACTGAGTTAGTGCTCTCTAGAGAGCATTATGTTGCCGTACTTTAAACACAAGCTTCTCCACAAAAGTGCAAAGTGGTGGGGGCTGGTGACAGTCCTGATGTGGCCCTGTCACGCGATGGTGGGTGTAAACAAGTCCCCGGCCCCGCTGCCATGTGGTAATATCTGTGCGTGTACACGTGACATTACACTCACTGTCCTCTACCTTGTTCCCCCAGCATCACCCTGACCTCACTACCCCTTGCTTCTCTGCTTTCTGGATGCTGCTGTCCATCAGTCCCCCAGTACAGCTTGCTCTGTGCTCAGGGCACACACTTGACTCACTCAGCTGCACTGGCTTGGTTCTCGGCCGACTTGTGAAGGATTTGTCTGTGGTTCATGATCTGGACTGGCCCTGCATCTGCCCTGTGTGTCTTGATGATGCCCTCTGTCACTGAACTGACACTGGGTTTTCATTTAAGGAATTAAATATGAAAGAAAGCCTCTATTTTGAACTCTTGAGTTCACATGCCACATTCTTGTGAATCACTGAGCTTTCTAATGACGGCTTTGGGATTCTTATTTATTTATTTTTTTTAAAAAAAGGTGGGTTATCACAAGAGTCCACAATTAAGGTTGCATAGTGGAATGGACTTGGGGTGGTGGGAGGGGTGCAGGGGGATTGTGTACCAGGGAGGGAGTCCTTCTTTTACTTTTGAAAGAGAGGAGTGAACTGGGGG